ATGCACAGGAGCAGGGCGCAGGAAAGCCATGAGGGAACTGGCAGAAGAGGCAGAGAAGAGCAGCTTTTGGCTGTGGCTCAGGAGGAAAGAGGTGAGTTGGGGGCCAAACAAAGCATGACCCATTCACTTTAACGTAAAGTTACCCACAATAGTAAACACAATAGGCATAACTAAATAATAAACTGTAACTAGCGCAAAAAAGGCCATCAATCTAAGTTAGGAATCTAGCTACAATCAAGTTAGGAACCTAGTTACAAACCTAATAGTAATTAATTAACAAGACACACCCTGGGACATGATCAACCCCAGCGCTGCCTTCCTAGGGGGAGAGTGTCTAGTGATAATGGCCAAAACACTCGATGACCCCAAGGTCCACTACTGAAGATGTCTTACAGTAAGATAGTTAATTTATAAAAACAACCAACTAATCAGGAAAAGCCATAGTCCAGTAAGCCACCCCATCCCTTACCTCAGCCCCTTCCCATACCCTGAAGGTAAGTATAAGGATGACCCCTAATAATTCCCCTGCCACAGCCCTAATCCCCACCCCGTGATCATACCAAGGAAATCACCCTTGAGGCACCACTAGTGTCACTCAGGCACTAGTGGGGCCCAGGGAGGTGGTCAGATGAGCACAGCAGCACAAAGGCACTGGTGGAGGTGCGTCAAGCAGCAATGCCCAGCAGGCAGACCACCAGCCTGTATTTTCATATAACAAGGGAGAAAACTCCCCTGGTTTTGGAAGCCATTTGATCTATGCTAAGCTAATCAAAAATTATGTTACAATGTCAATGAATCAGATGAACATACTCATCCCACAGGTCAGATTAGACTAGTGCTGTATATCTGTTCTTAGATGATGTATTATTAAATTTTACCAGTGCAGAAAAAACAACAAAACACAGATCATTTTTGTTTTTAAGCACATAAGTAGGTTTTTATGGTATCATGCCATTAATGTATGGAGAAGGGAAATCTTGTTTTGGAATAAGGAAGTAAGGATAGGATTCAAAACTTAATTGATCTATTCTGTCACAGAAAGGTTTAAAACCATCCAACTTTAAATGTAAGTTTTTAATTCATGATTTATTACAACCATTAGCAAAGTAGTAGGTGTATCTTGTAAAGCTTCGGACTCGTTTTAAGTTACTCAGCTCAATATTCTTTCATATATCCTATTCAAATGTTGTGCTAGAGCAATTTTACTTGAAAATCGGAGAACCAAAATGACAGAATAATAGCTAGCACAACAATGTCACTATTTCAGGAAGGTGGGTATCTGGTAGACTTGCTGACGATGTGTCACCTCATTTGACGACCAGTGAAAAACATGATTTAAATAAACCAGCGTCGCAGATTTCGTAGAGACACGCAATTGCCGTAAAATCAGCTCATACCACGCTGTCTATACTTATTTGGTAGAGACGAGATTTCACCTCATTTGCAAAAGGAAACCTTCCATTACTCATCATTTAGAAAATATTACGGTAAAAAAGATCAACGGCCGAAATACTGATATCTAAAAATGACACAGCAGCATCAGTAACATCAGCCCATGCAATATTCGCTAAGTCCAGTTAGCCACCCGGCTAAATTTCACCAGACTTCTGCCCTCACTCTCAACTGAAAATGCTACCAGCGTTTCAGACGTGCTCTACCTGCTTTTTGTGCTATATCTACTGTGAAGAGGAAGATGCCGTTCTGTGGAATTATATAAATGGCTTTATGTTGAGACTTACCACACATGACAACTATTCGACTAATACTATAGACTACTCCCCGGTGTGGCTGAGAACGCCGGTCAAGTAAAACTCTCGGTCCCCCAGTATTAACCTATAGTGTGCTACCACCTTATTCTATGTCGCCATACGATTGGTCACCAAACCTGTCAGTCATACTATGACCATGACGCAGTACCCCTGACGTGGCATTCAGGATGCACATCCGTGGGCAGTAGTGATGGGAAGACTGTTAGGTTTATGCTAACATATGTGACGACAAAGTAACAACACAAAGACGTCTGGATCTTTTTCTTGCCAGGGGAGAATGCAGCTTGCTCTTCTGGCAGCTTCCTCATCAACTCCGAGTTGCTGCACCCTTCCCCTGCTCTTTTATTTAGTTTACAAAAGTATCAGATAACATAACATTTGATTTAGTGTGAGTATATGGGGTAGGAAGCTGGATATGTAAATGGGTATGAATGGGGGTGTGACAAGGAAAAGATGGGAAGTAAGCAATTTGTTAAAGCGACAGTAATACACTGGAGTAAATATGGGAAGCAAGTGGTTTGTTAAAGCGACAGTACAGCATGAAGCAACGATAATAAATGCAATTCTTCCAACATATATGTATATGTATTTTTATACATATGTATATGTATTTATATATATGTATTTTTATATATATGTACAGTATATGTATTTATACATATGTATATGTAATTATATATATGTATATGTATTTTTATATATGTTTTTATATATATGTATATGTATTCATATATATGTATTTTTATATATATATGTATTTATATATATATGTATTTTTATATATTTGTATATGTATTTATATATATGTATTTTTATATATGTTCGGCAGCACTTATATATGTGAGCAACTTTTTTCCACAATGAAGATGACCAAAACATCTCACAGGAGACGCCTGACGGATGAACACCTTTGCTCGATACTGAGGATTTCCTCAGCTCAGAGCCTGTGCCCCGACATTGATAAACTTGCATCCAAGAAGAGGTGCCAGGTGTCGGGCACATCAGGTTAGATAAGTGTAGCAAACTGAGCAAAAATTAAAAGTGAAGTTAATTATAAGTTTCCTTTAAGCACTTTAATTGTTATTCCAAGGCATGGTTCTGAATGGTTGATTGATTTATTATTGTTAATTTATTTTTAAAATTATTAGCCTGTGGAAAAAGTTTATTTTGATATTAAAATTAGAAGTTAAGTTAAATATTGTGTGGTAATATGTGTTGCTTGTTCCATATTCAATGTTAAAGCAAAACTTGTTTGAGTTCATATTACAATGTTTATGTTGGCCCGTGACTTTGTTCAGATTTTGAATTTTGAATTTTGGCCCCCGGTGTATTTGAGTTTGACACCCCTGCTCTAAACGGATCATTCTCTGTGAACTAATCTTTCGCCTCGTTCTCGCAGATTCGTTTCATTTGTCACGTGAAAGAGCTCGGGTCTTTTTTGCTCTCATTCATCTTCACATTGTGGTGTGTTTTTATTTCTTAGCTTTTCACATGGTTTTAATTACTTATGGCATTTTGTGTACTTTGTAGACTTTGTCAGCGGAAGCAAACCAAGTCGCCTTCAGTATTTAGTGTCGGTGAACCGCAGCCTTCTTTACAACGCCCACAATAGGGCTAAAGCGCCACCTGCTGTAAAACGAATGAAATGATTAGTTCAAGATTCGTTCACGACTCGTTCATTTTACTGTTCGAGAGTCAAAGATTCGAATCAGTAAAAAGAGTCGGTCTTCCCATCACTAGTTGGTATCGAACTCAATCTCTCAATATGTTACCGAGACATCAATTTCTAATGGTTCTTTAAGTGATCACTGTTCTATTAATCTGAAACTAAAAAACAGAAACCAAAACATTAAATTCAAAGATTATTGGAAATTTAATTCCCAATTATTTCCCGGTTGAACCAGATTAACTAAAGAAATACCCCAAAAAGTGTACGAGAAACGGGAGGAAAAACCATATCACCACTTTGAGCAGTAAGCGTCGTCCAAAGACGGAGGGGAGGAAGACGGGCACAGCAACAATTGAACAGCTGCTAACAGGTATAAACTAACAAGCATTGTAGAGCAGTGCGAAGAAATGACCAACACAGAACTACACGAACTAAAAGAGTTTCACCAAGAAAATAAAGAGCAATTAGCGACAATAAAAGAAGAAATCATTAAGGCGAATGCCAGATTGGATGAGATTGAAGGACGAGTGGGGAAAGCGGAAGAGAGGATTCAAACTGCAGAAGAAGTCATCACAGCTATGCTACAACTACACTCTAAGCTGGAAGATAAGTTGCTGGAGCTGGAAAGCCGCTCCAGACGCAAAAATATAAGTATTTATGGGGTGTCGGAG